TCGAAATCCTCGTAGTCGTAGTCCGGTAGGTCCTCACCTGAGCGGAGGCCCCCTAGGATGGCCTCCTCATCCACGACACTCCTTCGAGATCGTGGGGTCGACATAGAGCTTGTAGTTGATGGTCTCAAGCGCGTAGGAAAGTCCTACGGCTGATAACCTGTGATTCGGGCACGAGCCTGTGCCCAGGCAATGGGTAAGTTGGGGTAAACAAGCCACAAAAGAAAGGTTCCCCAAAAGCAAACCAATCCCCGGTCCCAAAGATCAGGGTTTCCCACACACCAGAGAACAACAACCAAAGGAAAACAAACCAAACAAGAAAAGGGTTAACCCGCAACCTTGGTCGACAACAGGCCGCACGACTGGTCCCTACCAACCTGGCGGCGGCCCGAGGTCTCTTTCTCCCCCGAGATGCCGTCGGTCGACGCAGGGGTTCGGCGACGCCCATTCGAGGCGCGACGGAACCCAAAATCTTGAGCCAAACATCACAGGTCAGTCACTACCGCGACATCCCTGTTGATGAAATGAATCATGGCTAATCACAAATAATAACAAGCAAACAAACGTGCAACAAACGTCAACTGACAACAGCAACAACATCAACGACAACAGCAAGCACGAATAATAAGGAACGAACAGAACGAAAGCCAGACGTTGAAAATGACAAGTTCCCAACAAAGCCCGACAAAATCCGCCAAAATCCGACAAAAACCGACAGAACCAGTCAAAAAACGCCAAAAGCGCAAAGCTGGCCCAAGATGACAAAGTCTTGAATTCCCCTACGAGCTGTTCCCCAAACAACTTTTGCGCATTCAGGGGCCATGTCAGGGAGTGTTGTTGGCCGGTTTTTGCGCGTGAACTTATAAAAATTTCAGGACTGGCGACCCCCGATTCTGTTTTTCGGCTTTTCGTGTTCTTTTTTTTGGGGGGGGGGGGGGGGCGCGTGCACTTGCGTGAACTTGCGTGAAAAAAGACTCTAAACTACGGTGTTTTGGCGTGAACTTGCGTGAGCTTTCATGAAGCTTGGAATTCGCATTTTCGCTGGTTAAAAAAATTGGCGGCCAGCTGTGCGGGTTTCGCGGCCGATTCACGGATATTCGCGGAATTTCGCGGCCATGTCTGCTCGTGCACATGGTTTCGCGGCCATTTCGCGGCCATTTTCTAAAAACGGCGCACGACCCCCCTTAAAAGACGTTCGTACGCATGTCCAAGTTAACCCTTTAAGGCCTTCCACTCTTACATTCGTTCGACCCGAACTCGGGCAAATGCTTCAACGCCATTGTGTGACCTATCCACGCATCCGTGAGGGGTTTGGAGTTGAAACTTCGTGAAGTAAACCCGTCCAGCGCGAACCCTTGAAAACCCCAAATGGCCGTGAAACCCGTTTCTAGAGATGAATGATTGCCCAATCGTGAGCATATGAATAACAGGGAACTGCGTAGCAATCCCTTATATTGAGCTGCGCCTTTTCACAGAGTGAGAGTGGAAGGCTATTAGAAAAAGCGCCGACGGCCTGAGCGCTATCCAAGAAAACAATGCGAGAGTTGATGGCTTTTGGCTTTAGCGTCAATAATCAAAGAGTCTAAGCCTTTACGAGCCCCTTGCTGATAGTGGAAAAAGAGGAAACGCATTGAGGTCAATGGCTGGGAAAACTACAAAAAGCATCGAAAGGGTCAATGGTGCCGAAGTGCCCCCCAAAAGATTGCGTTGCGACCCCTTGCAAAGCTAAAGGCAAATGAGGCGGGCGAGTTGCTTTGGCAATCTTTGGCATGTCCGCGCGCCGTTCTTTCTTAGGATGGCGTCGATCCCAAGGCTTGCCCCCCCCCCCTCTCCCTCCCGCCTGTTCTTGTTTTGTTGGCTCCAAGTGTTTGGGCCAAGGTTGCAGTTTAAAGGTATACTTGCGTTGCTCACTTGCGCTCACACCTTCCATTCATGCAACTGAACTCGGCGCGCCCTATACGACACTGGCTTCTCTACAAGGATAGATCCAGCTTGACAAGTGTTTGGCCTTGGAAATTGCATGACGTCATCTTGCGTCGGCGCAGCCGGTTGCGGCCTAAGCTGTCATTGCGCCGTGCTTCGGCTGCTACTCTTTGGAGCCCATCTGGCCCATTCTACGCCCCCCGCCGAATAACAACCCTTTGGCGCAAGCTGCAGGATCTCAAGAGTTTGCTACTCGACCGGCTCAAAAGCAAAAGCGATACATTAGCGCCTCGGGCTTAGTGTCTTGTAGCCTCTCTTGGTTGGACATGAAAACGTTGCGAGTCTCGCGCCAAAGCCATGCGCTCCGTTGACACTTCAAAGTTGCAATTAAAACTTGCCCCATGGCGTGTGCTACTTTTGCGCTTAAAACTTACGATTTTGCAGCCGGAGCTCTGGAGTGCTCTTCGCGCACTACTTTTTTGCACTCAAAACTTGCGAGCTTTCAGCCGGAGCTGAGGGAATGCCGCGAACTACTTTTGTACTTAGAAGTTCCGAATTTCGAGCTGGAGCTGTGGGAGTCCACTTTGTGTAGGCTACTCTTGTGCTTAAGAAGCGAGATTTTACAGGCGGAGCTCCGGGAATGCGCTTCGTGTGCTACTTTTGCGCCTAGGAGCTCGAGCTGGAGCTGCGGGAGCGCGCTCTCCGTGCTAGCTTTGCGCGTCAACATTGCGACTGCGCAGCCGGAGCTGCAAGGCATATGTTTTTCAGATCGACTTTTGTTCAATGTAAAATCGACCTTTTTTCCGGCAAACTTTCCTGCGTTTCAATGCGCGATAACAAGATTGGGATAGATTTTGGAGGTGTCACAGCAAGGCGTTTCCAGTTGAGCCCCACATGGGTACATGCCAATCAAGGGTGGTTTGGGGGAGCGTTTCCTGCAGCCCTGCAAATTCGAATCTCGAAGCCAGTGCCCTGATATCAGTTGCTCGCGTTGGACCACATGTGCGTGCCGATATATGTTTAGTGTGCTCTAAGTCCGCCACCTGCTACCACAAATGGTACCCAACGCAAATTCATAAGCTGTAAGTGCACAAGCAGTACAAGAAGTGCACTCCCATTCCAGCTCGAAGTTGGCAAGTTAACTGCAACTTTGAAGTGTCAAAGGAGTATTGGAAGTGCGTTTCCATGGCTTTGGCGCGAGACTCGCAACTTTTTCATGTCCAAAGTTGTGTGCGTAGTGTGTCCGTCGTAAGTGGCTACGTGCAAAGGTAGCGCACGAAGCGCGCTCCCGCAGCTCCAGCTCGGAAATCGCAACGTTCAAGCGCGAAAGTATTGTTCGGAAAGCGCGCTCTTGCATCTCCAAGCTCGAAAAAGTCGCAACTTTAAAACGGAAAAGCAGCACGCAAAGTACAAATCCGTATCTGCACGCACGAAAACCACAACTCGTCAGCGCAAAAGTAGCGTGCAAAGTACAGTTCCGCACAGCTTCGCGCGCAGCATCAAGCCACAGCACGCGCACGAGAAGTTGCCGGAGGTCTGGAGTGCTTTCGCACATTATTTTTGCACTTCTAACGTGCGAGCTTCAGCCGGAGTTGAGGGAATGCTTCGAACTACTTTTGCACCTAGAAGTTGCGAATTTCCAGCCGGAGCTGCGGGAGTGTCACTTTCATTACTACTTTGGCACTTAGAAGTTGCAATTGCGCAGCCGGAGCTGCAGGAGTCCACTTCGTGTGGCTAGTCTTGCACTTAAGAAGCGAGATTTACAGCCGGAGCTCCAGGAATGCTCTTCGCTTGCGTAGGAGCTCGAGTCGGAGCTGCGGCGTCAAAGTTGCGATTGCGCAGCCGGAGCACACGTGGCCCGTTGCGCGGCGTCGCAGCGAGGGCGCTTCAACACGCGCCTTCTCCGCAAAAGGTTCTCCGAGCTCGTGACGCATTCGTACGGCGCCACAGCGGGAGCACTTCGACACGCAAGATCGCCGCAGAGAGTTCGCCGAGCTCAAGGCACATTTGCACCGCGCCGCAGCGCGAGTCACCAACCCGAGACGCTTTCGCGCGGCGCCAGCGGGAGCACTTCGACACGCAAGATCGCCGCAGAGGGTTCGCCGATATCAAGATACATCCGCACGGCGCCGCAGCGAGAGCGCTTCGACACGCAATCTTCGCAGGGGGTTCGCGGAGATTGACACGCATTCGCACGGCGAAAAAGCGAAAGTGCTTACACGCACGATCCCAGCAGAGGGTCACTTTGGTCTTGCAACGCTTGCGCATGAGCGAAACGCTGCACCTGCCACGAACGTCGTAGCCCTGTTGCTGCAAACACTGCGCTTTCAGCACAAACATACAGGCGCACCACGCAAAACGCACGCCAGCCCTACCGCCAACACACACATCAAACAACGGCACGGAGCCACAGCGAGAGCGCAGTTTTGAAGAAAGGTCCGTTTCATGCAACGCCGTGGCACGCAAGACAACTTTTGCGACAAATTGCCATGGCTGTGAAGGTCCGGTTGTCCAAGCATCGTAGCCAGACCCGACAAGGAGACATCCGCCGCGTAGCGACCCTTTTGACGCAAGGCTTCCTGAAAAACACACCCCGCGTGGCAGCGCGAACCCCTCCACGCCTGAGGCTTCCATACAAATGCAAAAGCACGCGTTTGGCGCGAGGCTTCCTGAAAAACCTAGCGCGCACCTTTGCTGCGTTGCCCCTGCCAGCAAAAACCGAAAAATTGAGCACGGCGCCGCAGCGATCGCGCAGCGCTCGCGCAAGCCCACATTTCGCGCGAGACTGTCTCATCGAAGACAACCTTCTACCCCAGCCGTATAAACTCTTACCGTGAGAACCCTTAATATAAAAATGCTTGGAGGAAAGGAGAAAAACACAGAAAGAAAGAAATGAGCAAAACATGGAAACTCGATCCTTACTCAAGACTGCTGGGAAGCACAGGGAATTGGCATCGAACCCTGATGAGGGCTGCGGGCGTGTGCCGTAAACCGCTGTAAGCCGAATGTCTCTGGGTAGTGCTAACATATGTCAACCATCAAGGTTCCAGACGCAAGAAAGCGAACCTGGGGCCCCGTGCCTGGTTGGAGGGTGTTCCCCAGTTGCTGCGTCTTCTGTGGCTCTGTGGCCTAGGATCTGCGTGGGGCTGTCGGGCTGTGGATCGGGTCATGCCCGATTCGGGCGATCAACGCTACGCAACGCTACCCCTGCAAAGTCTCGCTCAGGCCCAAGGAGTCTAGGTTTCATCAGCAAGTCTAAGACAGACCATGCTGAGATGAAGCTATTGCGCTTCTTTAGCGTCAATCTGGTCATCTTCCACAGTTTAACCAACGAAGCAACTTTACTGATTTGCTACATGGCTTTCCCCGAAACTTGCAAGCGCAGCTCTTTGCTCGGGACCGGGCCAAGATGTCTGGCGACGGAGACCCTTTAAACCTGGCAGTAACGGAGAGAATCATCAATCTCATGACTTGCGCAGTGAATCCACGAGTCTCAAGACCTCCCAATGTGCGAAGAGCAATGCAAAGAAAAGCTCAAAAGGCGCACTCAACCAACAACTTCTGCCAAGAACGCCATTCCAAGTGCTTCACAGCGTTCAACCAACTCCAAGAGCTGGATGCAATTCTCAAGCTCGGCCGAACGCAATCCTCAACTCGGCCGGGGAACGAGGACATCATGGGCGACAGCCGCCACGTGGCGCACAGCGCCCGCGAAGCCCGCGAGCGCAAGGAATAATCAAGGCATCAAACAGCCTGCCTGGCCAAAGTGTCTGGTCTATGTTCTTTTCGCAGAGATGGCCGTCAAAATTTATAGTATTGAAGCGGCGCTGTGGCAATGAGTCGAATGGCGATGATGCTGAGCGCTGTTTGACTTCGTCCCTCTGACTGCGCAAAAACCTTGGCTAAGCCTCGCTTCCTGCTTCTTCATCGATTGCGCGCAGCTACAAGTGAAAACGCGGCTCTGCGCGCATCTGAAGATTGAGCCGAGAACGCCAACGGGCTACACGCTTGCGCGAAACTCTGACGGCTGATTGGGCGAAAGCGGGGAAATGCGCTTGATGCTGCCGGGCGCACAGCTCCAGGACAGTCAGAGCCCCTCCAAGCATGTTTTTTTTGTGCATCACTAAAGGGTGTTCCATCCAAAGACCCACCACCGCCAAAACGCTCCGAGCTAAACCAGGGTGACGATTACTTTCTCTCTTGCAAAACAACTTCCCAGCCAAAGCCACCTATCTTCCTAAAAATCTTGATCAAGTCTTTGCGAGTGCGTTGCCTGTTTGGAGTTATGACTGCAGCCAGTTTTGACGAGCCATTGGCGCAATCGGCAAAACTTAGAGCAATCCAGCAAAACATCCGAGCGCCAGCCCGAAGTCTGCGAACTAAAAACAATCCCTTCGAGGCCACGTCAAACCTTTCCAGGCAATGCGACGCAGGGAAGGATGCCTTCCATAGCCAAAGCGGGATCCCGCAACTCTTGTTAAACGGGGACTGAGACATGCAAAACTCAAGCACTCACAAGAGAATTCTTCATGAAGTTTAATCGATGGAACGAAATAGCAGCAAATGTGTCCCATAAACATGTGCATAGAAGGCTGGACATCACCCTGTTCTTACACTTGGGTGCGCTTTGGAGGTTCTTGGCCCATCACAAAGAAGTCTCATTTGAACTTTCTCATTCCCAGGCTCCAAAGGCTGATGGAAATACCGCGCATGTGTTTCAAGAACCCATTTGCGTTTAAACCTGCAACTGCCGCGCTTTTTGGCCAACCGCCAAGCAGTGCAAAGCTATGGCTGATTGAGCTTGCGTGGCAATGTTTGACTAGATCATGATTCCGCGTATGGTGCGATGGCTCATGGGCTTTGGCCATGAAGAGTGGAGCTCCTGGCGCGGCACATATTGCTTGGCCACTACGGGATCGACAATGCTCACAAAAGGGCCCAAAATTCATCGGAGCTTCTACGCGTGTGGCGCAGTAGCAAAAACAGGAAGCCATTGCGGACCGCTTTGCTGGTTCTACCAACAACAACACTTACTACCAGGGACTTTCCAGAGACATTCCATCTATCGTTGACACTGATCATCGTGTGGGATAGATCCAGGGACATATCATAGACCATTACCACAAAGTGCCTGTTGCTCCGGGATAAGGTACCCTTGTTCCACAGCCCATGAATCTAGGCCTTGATGCCTGTATTCAACGATTGCTTAAACATTCTAAATTCCGGACCTTTCTTTTGCCACAAAGGACCGCACATAGACATTCTGATTGACCTATTTTCTTCGTAAACCTGTTTGGGCTTTCATTAAAACCATGCTTGGAAACGAAATAATATTCAAGTTCCGTAGCATATAAGTTCTAATTCTATTGTTGTCCTTATAAAAGCCCATGATTTGTTAACCCACTTTATGAGTGGCGATCCGGAGGTCGCTGTCCGTTTCGTGATTCGGGATTTAATGACATTTCGGGATTCAACCACATTCTCGGGATTCGCGACTCGAATCACATGTTCGGGATTTGGAATTCGGGACTCGAATCACATTCTCATGATTCGGGGCTCGGGGCTCGGGATTCAGGACTCAAATCACATTTTGGGATCCGGGATTCGTGGATTCGCGGCTCGAATCACATTTTCGGGATTCGGGACTCAGGATTCGCGACTCGTGTTCGGGATTCGGGATTTGGCTCGATTCACATTCTCATGATTCGGGATTCGGGGCTCGGGATTCGGAATTCGCGACTCGAATCACGGGGCTCGGGATTCGGGATTCGCGACTCGAATCACATTTTGGGGGCTCGGGATTCGGGACTCGGGACTCGAGTCACATTTTCGGGATTCGGGATTCAGGGTTTGGGACTCGACTCACATGTTCGGGAATCGGGGCTCGGGATTCGGGACTCGAATCACATTCTCATGATGCGGGATTCGGGGTTCGGGACTGGGAAAGTTTTTGATTTTTTCCGATTTAAGTGCAGTTTTCTAGGCAAATTCAAGTCTTTCCGCATTGAACTATATTGAACGTCGACGTGAATGTTGGTTCAACTTCGTATTCAGAAGAACTTCTAAATAAAACTCTGGTTGAACCTTCAGCGTTTGGTGCAAAATCCAACTCAGTTCGACGTAAAACCAACTTTGCAAAGGAAATTGTCCTTGGACATGTTGGAGGAGGCGGACATCATAACTCATTTTCCTCAAAAGGCAGAGGTAGTAGGTGAGCAGATATGGAAAGGTAGAGGACACCGATGTACAGATTTGATCTGGATCGTCTGGCCTTCTTTCATCATCCTGCGCAACAAAGAAGACGCTGCAAGTAGTACCAAAGAACTCACGCTGATGTGCAGTAAATACATGGCTGAGGAGGTGTGTTAAAGGACAACCGCTCTTGCGCAGTCAGCCATGCTGGCTCATCAAGACAGTGAGCCTACAGTAGATGACACATTGCCTGGGTACAAAAACAGTTGTCGCAGCCGGAAACACAGTTAAAACTGACAAAACCTGGCAAAGACGCCTGCTTGATTCAGCCAAGAACACCGACATGTTGGTCAAGATCCTTAGCACGCCTTGCCAATCTGAGATGTTGGCCGCAGCTCCTAACGCTGTCGCTGTCAAGTCTTGACTCCTGGCTGCTTGGCCTAATCGGCAAGTCTTTCCCGAATCAGCTTAGGTTTTCATTGCGCGCAACGCGCGGTCCATGTTGGGAAGAATGTGTCGGCGCTCACGCCATGCGCAAATTCCTTGCAGACCCTACTGGTGAAACCACTACAGGACACAGGCGCTTTCATTTCAGCTTGCCTGTCGGGCACATGCTCTATTGAACGCAGTGACAGAAATAAGGACTGGGCAGGAAGCAGTTCAAAGCTGCTTGGGACGCCCGGCCACGTACCTGTTTACAACCCTCCATTCTATTGACACAAAAAGCAAAAACCCCGGAACCACCCTAAAGTGCAGGGGCGCTACCGTTTTGCACGCGGTGCCAAATGTCTCAAGGCCTGAAGGGTTTGCGGAAACGCGCATGAACCTAAGCCCAAGCAACTGACCCTGACTGCCACGTGTATCTTTCCACACGCCCTCAAAATTTTGTGGCAAGTCAGGCGTCAGCCGGTCGGTAAAACCCGGCGCCTTGCCCGCACTTGCGTGGGCCCCATCCTTCAGGCCCACACGCCACCCCAGCGCTCGCCATACACCTTGTGCCCATTCACGAATTGCAGGCTTGAGTCGTCCTTCAAGGGTTGCCTCAAAGCCGGAAAGCGCCTGTCCTAGCCAAATTTTCTTGTAAAGCTCCATGCTTTTGATAGCAAAGACCGCCGTCCATCCAAGCTTCCACGGCACGCGCCGCCTTGTCCTTCTAAACATCCTCCAGTAGCCCGTCTCGTGCTTTGCGTCCTGGTGTCATCGGCTGTGAATCATGGGCCTTCTCCTTGCCTCACTCCCTCCAGCACCTCCTTTGCAGAGCGCTCTCCTCTCCGCTCCTCGGTTGCATCTTGAAGCCTTCGCCCACGCTTTCACGACCGTTCACGGTATCTATCTCTCTTCTCCCGCTGCTGGAAGCGATTGTGGGCCACTCCTTTCTTGCAATGATGGTTGTGCGTGAGGCTCGCTCTTTTCTCGCGTTGGTTGTTGTTGAAGCCCACCCGTCTCCGGCTGCGGTCGCGTTTGCCATTATAATTCTGACCCCTCATCTTGATGACCTTCGCCTACGTCGGGCAGCTGTGGGCCTCCACAGCTTCTTCTGCTGGTTGAGGTCCTACACCTTCCTCCAATCCTCCCAAGACAAATCGTTGGACTACAAACAACTGACTCGTAGAACCTATGTACCTCCTGAAATCGCCTCTTCACCATCTCTTACTCCGACTCCGTTCTTCGCACGCTTGACGATCTCGTCGAGCCTCTCACTCCAACCCTCCCAATTGGACACCGGCCTCAAGGGCTCCACCGCGCACTCGGTCACGTTGCGCTTGCGTGCCACGTAGATGCCGGCACAGACCCACCTTCCGTCGCCATCACTACCGCGCAGCACCTTCTTCCGTCGCCTCCTAATAGAAGTAAACCGTGACTCAGCGGCGTTTCCTCGCTCTGGCTAGCTCGGCTCTCCGCCAACTGTTGGAGTAGCGCGTCCGCATCATAGCCACCCGAGCTGCCTCTTTCATAACGTCCACCTACGATTAACAAATGTTCCCCCCCAACAATTTGGTGGCCCCAGACTGATTCCTCAATGGGTCCTAAGTCAAGTTTTTAGCCAGAAAGCACCAGCTCCCTCTTAAAACAAAACCCTCATGCTCAAACACCAAAACTTGCAGGAGTTCCCAGACCTCACGTTTCTGTTTAATATCTTTGTTCAAAAAACCCAAAAATCTATCCCACACAGGGGTACCGCACGGGAGCCATGAATCTCACGCAAAAACTTTACTTGAGAGCGGCCCCAAATAAAGTTTTTGGCCAGCCCCTTTCCCTTTCCAAAAGCACCAGTTCCCCATCCTAAAGCAGCCAGGCAAATTCCAAAGTTGAGTTTGTAACGCTAAAATCAACTGCAAAGAATTTGCAACTCCAAATTTGCAGTTTCCATACTAAAGTCAATTGAAAAGCCTCCCGCAAAAAACGCAATGCTAAACTGGTATTCTTGGTTGAGTACCGGTATACTTTTCAACTTTGTTTGAGGGGCCTCAGTTGTTTGGGGGGGTTACAACTGTAAATACGGGAGCCCAATAAGGCCAGCAATGCACCTCGTAGGTCCACCCAGGAGTTTTACTCCGATGCAAGAGGAATAAATCTGTGAAGAGGGAAATGACCACGGTGTGAAATATAAGGCAGTGTTTGGTGTCATAAGGATCAACTAACGCAAGCCCCACCATCAGCAAGGCGATGGCTCCTTTTTCTACTGTTGCTGCAGTCAAGGAGCTATACACCACGCCTTGAGCCAGTGCATACATGAGACTGCTTCATGAGTGGATCATGTCGCACAAGCACAGAACAAAACAAGAAACAAACAGACACACATGTCTTTCCACTCCTGGCATCTCAGATTACAAAGATTATGCCGTTGAGCGATTTCATCAATGAGCTGTTAGGCTAGAATATATACGGAGTTTGTGCAATAGCAGCACATTGAGTTACTGTACCGTAGCCTTCAAGTTATTGCGTTCCGAAAAACACGAGGCGGACACGTGTATCTTTTGACGGGCCCAAGGTGAGAACCTCACAACTGCACGCCCCAACAAAATTCAACTGTGCGCCTCAATCCAACCCCTCACCTTAAATGCAAGATATAGCGCGACGCGCTCATCGCCTTAGGGCTGTTCCAAGCTACGATTCACCCATCAGGAAACTCACAACCTCTAAAACGCATCAAGTCTTTCCTCAAGTCTCCCTCCTTTGTTCAACGCCCCAGCCTGCCCAAAAGTTGCCAGATATATATGGTGATGACTGGCTCCAACACTTCTTTCTAACGGTGGGCTTATGAAAAACTTAGGGTGGGTCTTGGGTAGGGTAGATGTTCCCCGGGTTCTCGTCTGGGGGCTGCTTAAGGGTTGGGTGGAGGATGGGCGTTTGTTTATTACATGCTGGTTTCGGATTGGGTGGATGAGATTCTGCGTTGACCAATGGCACTTGTCTGAGACCACGCTGTAGCAAATGCTGCTGGCCCCGCATATTTGTAGCTCTCCGTTTCCTTTGAACCAACCCTGTGGTCGTAGACTCCGGACTTGATTTATCGCCCGTCAGCGCAGCCTGACATGTCTAGCGACCAAACCGACGGTCCAGTCCTTGAAGCAACGCTCGTCGTGGCGTTTCCAAACTGAACATCGAACCGATCTGAACCGCAGATCCAAAGACGGCAGCAGCATCGTTGGCGGACAATTCCTAACGTCCCTGCGCCCCTCGTAATACCCTTTGCACTTCTTGAAAAACCCGGTCTGGCCTTTGCCGGGAGGTAGGTGCAAGAGCTACCTCGCGCAATCAAGGGGAGTGAGCTGAATTGAAGCACACATCTAAACCCAAGTTTCACTTTTGCCTACAGCGGGTGTGAGAAAACATGAGAACGAAAGCCACTATGTTGTTTCGCTGAGGTTGGAACACAAACATGGATTGCCTCCGAACGGCGTATGGATTCTAGATTATCGCGCTGAACTATGGTCGGTCCAACCGCTTCTTCCCCGCCCAGATAATTTTACTTGGAGCCAGAAAGTGGGTGGCCCCGTGTGTTCCCATGATGAGCCGGCTCCTAATTGAACTTTCTCCTTGTTGAGGCTTGGCTGGTCCATTGACTTTTCCGCCTACTAATACGCATGCGACCTGTTACCTAACCACCCCCCCCCCCCCGACATGGGAAAGTGTCGCGAAACCATCTGGTTTTACGCACGAGAAGGTTCACTGCCTCAACACGCCGCGGGCCAACTACAAGCGGTCTGATTCACATATTGCACGCATCTGGGCCTTGCGTCATACAGGCAGCTCAAAATCCAACAGCTCTGCTTGTTGATGCTAGGGGGTCTTGAGATCCTGCAACAACAAAAATCAGCATCTCCCCACCACTCATGACTATGCTAACACAGCTTGCGCTGCGTGAATCTGGTTGTGGAAGTCGCCACACTACGGTCTGAGTAACTCGAGCTTATGTTTTGCAAAAGATGAAAAAGCACTAGCGGCGTGAAAGTTCCAAAGCTTGGCAGTTTTGTCTTCGCCTCCCCTGGCCAGCCATTTACAATTTAGGGACACCGAACGATCGTCACATTCCCGGCTCGGAAGTGGATCGCACCAGCTTTCCGGCCATCTCTCAATTGCGAATTGTGGAAACCGTTGATAAACAAGAAAAGTCACGCGCCCCAAACCTTGCCGGCCCCATGCGCCTCGCTCTGGAGCTCATCACCTTCCCTGCCTTAGAGGTTTGAGGCCCAACGTGGGCACAACCGGCGCCGAACATGAGGTGTAATCATCAAGCAGCAGTCGCGGGTAAGCTCCTGCCACGCTTGCCTTAGCGGGTAAGTTCATGTGTCAAACCAGCAAACCCCTTCCTTCGCTTTCACGTTGGTCCGCTTGCCTCCCGGCTCGAGAATCGACCCTGCTGATTGCTGCGTGTCTAAGCGGGCACATCTTGAATGTTGCAGGAACTCAGCTTGTCATTATGCCGGGGAGAGGTCACCTTCTTCAGCAACAGAAATGGATGAATATGATCGCCTTTAGCCATTGGCATTGTCTTGCTCTAGCCCGTGCTGCGACGCTTGCCTGAGTGTGTCAAGCGTCGCTGTCGCCCGAAACTGCGGGCGTTCCCCCCGAAAGAGACGGTGCGACACCCTTCATGCGAGCGCGCCGCAGCCTGTTTTCCTGCAAGGTGAAAACATGCAGGACGCAACACTGATAGCTATGTAAACGCCAAGCAGCCAGCCAGAAAAAGGACACACTTCCGATCGCATCTGTCATATGTCGCCATGGTTTCCGTGGTTTCAAACTCTTTGCTCGGCCGCTGGCGCTACAAGTTGAGATCAGGCTGTCACCACAAGCGTTCAAAAGATCGCCTCACTGATGTGGCTCATGGAGTTCTTTGGCATGTGCCCCTGATTGAAACGGCCTGCCGAGCTGCGTCATTGAAAGCTTTGCGTGTTCACCGCCATGCAGCGCCGGGATGTTCGCTAAGAATGGTGCTCAGTCTCAAGGCGCATACAAACCCAGGCTCCTTGCATTTTCGCTACATCGGGAAAGCGCCCCCAAAGCATCCCCATTGATGCGTCCCCAAGTTAGTTCCTGATCATCATTGTGACTCCTACATCCTTCCCACAGCTGTTCTAAGGCTCGGCATTAAACAACAACGGCAAACTAACCCCATCCTGCGCTCAAAATGTTTGAGGTTCACTTCTATCAAGAGATAATCCCGGCGGGAGAAGTGGACAAGCACAAGTCTCCAGTAGCCTTTTCGGCAGCGTGTGACCTAAGGTGACGCAAGTCATGTAAAGCGCAGATAGCAGCGCAGCCTGCTTCTTTTTGCCTTCGCGGGCGCTGGCTCTTGTGACAGCTGCCAAGAGCAGCAGCCAGAGCCCAGTGCGCCAGGTGGAGACCAACAGCCGCCTTCACGCGCAGGTTGTCCACGAAAGGCGGCCACATCCGCGCCAGCTGTAAGTAGTCCAGGCACAGCAGCTACAGCTCGGACTTGTGGTGCGTGAATTGTTGCCTGTCCAGCCAAAGTTCGAGAAGCCTGAGCTACCACGCAAGCCGCGGCGCCGCGGTGGGCATTTTCTCTCAGGTTCTCACTTTCTCAAGTTGAACCTGACATGCGCTGCGCCGACAGAAAGTTGCAGTTTTGACACAAGCATGTCAGCGGCTACCGGAAAATGGCGCCAGCGAGACCGTCCGTCTCCAATCCAGCTGCAGCCTTAGCTGCGCAAATGTCAAGCGCATCCGGGCCAGTCTGTGACATGCTTCGCGTCACGCTCCTTGAAGATTCTGTCTCTTGCGAGTCTTTCTAGGACGACCGGCGTATCAACACATCAACAAAAAGCGTCTCAGCGCGGTGGTCATATGACAACCTACGAAATGTCACGCCTGTGAACAAAACGGTCGATTGCCTCGGGCAGCTCTTCCGCACGTCTACCTCCCTCTGCCCATTGTCGAGCGCGCTTGTTCGAAGACTTGCAGAGTGGATCCACACAACTTCTTGCTGAAAGACTTGCAGTGAAGAGCTTCGTCGCAAACAGTCGGGGCCGCCTTCGATCCCCCCATCGCTCTTTCTTTCTAGATCTCACTGTGGTCCTGGGTCTGGACTTGTAGCCTCAAGAAGAGGCGCATGCGTTGCAGGACGGATGAGTGTTGGCGTTCTTTTTGTCCAGCGGCATAGGTTCATCAGTCGCGCATGGTTTGTTTGCTTTTTATGTCGACACGCAAGATGACGGGCGGCAAGCCGATGCAGATGAAGTACAAAGGCTGGCCCCGCTCCAGAGCTGCGAGCTTCATTCCCATCAATGGTGAGCCGGGGAGCTTCGCGTGCCTCAGCCGCAGGCAACTTTAGCTTTGGCGCGCCGCGGATACATCTTTGAATTGAAAATTTGCCTTTGTTGCTCCAGCTTTGCATCCTGGACTTGCACCTTGGTTTGCAAAGTTGCCCAAGGCCGCGCGAGGCCGCATGTGATTAGCAGTCGGAAGCTTTACGCCAGCGAAGCACAAGAGCCGAGCTCCACGCAGGAGGTGAAAAGCAAATGGGCGGGCCTGAGTACTTAAACGGTTTCTTGACAGATCGGCTTGCCCAAATAGGCGCCAGAACGTAGTGACGTCCAGCTCGTCCGCGCCATAGTCCAAGAGTTCGAAGAGCGCTCAGCCTGGCAAACTCGACCCGGCAAGTTGCTGTGGCAAAGCAAGACAACCTGCTTTTCCAGAAATGGCGCCGTCAACTTTTTTGCAGAGCGTGAGGAAGTAGGTCCAGCCCCCTGTGGCAGGACTTGGCGCAATTGTGAAAATGATTTTGCATCACGAGGTGTCGATAGTCTGGCGCCAAAGGCCACTAGACCAGCTTGAAAATTTGCAACTATTCAGTTCAAGCCAAGCAACGCAAAAGGGGGTCTGGCGCAGCCCCAGCTGGCTGTAACGAGCTCTGCAACGGCTATGTCTCCTCAACGCAGGCCCTGTAACGGTGTGTGTAACGCACAGAAAGGCCCCTCCCTACTAGTCACTCATGGGAAGTCACTGAGCTTGTAACGAGGGGCATGTTCATGCGAGGGTGTGGAACGAAGGTGTGTAACAAGGGGTGTGTAACGAGCCAGCGGGTTTTGTTGTTCGGATATGGCCCCCTTGGGTCGTCGGCGTGGGAAGGAGGCGCAACGGCAGATGAGCAGAGCTCTTGTCGCCTGCCATCGGTGGAGACGATGTGCTTCCAGCGATTTGCGTAGCGCTCTCCCCCTAGCACCTCGCAAAGACGTCTTGGTTGCGTGGGCGCCACGTGGTGATGGGCAGGCAGCTCTTCCTGTTAAAAGCTCTCAAAGTCTTTCAAATTAAATAAGGGCTAAAAGTTAAACGTACAAAGTCAGCTGACAAAAGTTAAGATGATCAAGCGGTTTTTTGCTCGCTGGCACGTGAGTGCGCGCGTGCAGGGCGACCGAGTTGTTTGCATCCCGGCTGTGTCTTTGGGCAGTCGGCTTTGCTTAGAGTGACAAGGTCAGCGCGAGGGTTTCCGGGCCGAGCTCGGGGGCTTCGAGCTTTGAGGCGTGGCCGGGAGGCGCCACAAATGCCTGGCGCGGACAAGTTCTGCGAATGCTCGGAAGCTTGTCTGCTTGGCTCATATTTTTGTTGAGGGCTTTGCTGAGAGCAAGCCAGGGCTAAGATTGCTTGTTGCCTTAGGATGGGATCGGGCAGCGTGGCCCATCTAGGACACTCGCTGTTGAGGGACATATTTGCTGAGAGATGTACACTTTGTTGAGGGACACGTTCGCGTTGCAGAGGGTCACGTTGAGAGAGATTTTAGCAAGGAGCTCGCTGAGGTTTGTTTTCACAAGCTCTGCTGCCTAGAGAGTTCAACGTAGAGCTATACATTGTTGAGGGGCACGTCCGCGTTGTTGAGGGTCAGGTCAAGGTCGCTGAGGAAGCTGCTCACCAGCCCCGCCAGAGTTCGATGTTCTCTTCTCTTTAAAACATCACCTCTGCGGAGAGATATACTTTGTTGAGGAACACCGTCGTTGAGGGTCAGGTTGAGAGAGATGGTAGCAAGGAGATCGCTGATGATACCTTTCAGAAGACACCGCGCTTTGAGAGTTCGATGTTGTCGCGCGAGCCGCGTTGAGAGCTCAGGGAAGCTTATGGTTTGAGGTTCGGCCACGTCTTGGGCTGAGGGCGTGGGCAAGCTCCACACGTCTAACCCAAGCTTGGCGTTTCCCATCTGTCACTTTTTGGCCCAGACAACAGTGCGGCGCGCGTGTGCTTGCGCTGCTTGAGGGGCATTCCACCTCCCGCTCAGCTGCTCAGACCCAAGATGTCGCGCGCAGAAACGTGTAAGAGCTGCCAAACTGTTCGGCGCACGCGCTCGGAGGGGAGAGGCTCCTTCAGCCTGAGCCGCGCTCGTGTTGGCGCGGCTTGGACGTTGCTGCGGGCTACATTGTTGAGAGGAGATGAGAGCCAGGCACAGTTTTGCCTCAGCTTGAAGAGAGCATTGTTGAGAGCACCCTTGCAGACAGACTGTTGAGAGCGCCCTTGCTTAGAAAGGGGCGCCCAGGTCTACTTGTTAACTTGTTGAGGGACCGTGATGAGGGAGCTTGGTCGAGGCAGCGCGCTGCCCCTGGTATGACAAAGTGTTTGCAGAGAGTTTGTAGAGAGTTGCTGAGAGCTTGCAGAGAGTCGCTGAGAGTTTGTAGAGAGTTTCTGAGAGTGTGTAGAGCGAGCGCGAATCGCTCAGAGCTCCCCAAGCAGCTCTCTTGCTCTCTTTTGGAGGAAGATGTTGACAGTCCGCAGGGAGTGAAGAGTTCTGAGAGTCCGCTTGTGAAAGCTGTAGGTTGGAACGGGTCGCCTCTTTCTTGTGTGTGTGATTGGGCGACGTCGCCTGGGTTGCGCCGAAGGAAGTCGTCTTGCAGTCGTTGGGGCCGGGGCCTTAGTCTTAGCGCAGCCAGCAAGAGCAGTCACACGCAGCCGCACGCCTGCGCCGCCAAGTTGCCCCCGCAACCCGCGGCCTTGGGCTGCGGCGCGCTGGGCCGTAGCGAGGGCCAATGGCGCAGTTGCGCTTCGTTAGGGCCTTTGTTTCGGGCGCCCCCCTTCCGCAAGACCCTCCTCGGCACAGGCTTTGCCACTCCCGAGCACACGAGACCTTTCATGATGCAGGGCAAGGCTTTAGCTCGACAGTGACACCTTCAAGAAGAACTTGTCGAGAGAAACTGTTGCGGGCAACTTGTGGGACAACCTCGGGGCTAAGCGTGTGCTGAGTCTCAATAGGGCGGCAACTAGTTGAGAGAACTTTGCTAGGGTGGAACTTGCTGACTTGGTGAGAGAAAGGTGTCGCAAAAGTAGGCAAGAGACTGAAAGGAGCCCGTTGGGTGTGCAAAAAAACCACAATCGATTTCCTGCCAAGCTTGTACAAAAGTTTGTCAAGTTTGCCCAAAACACGACCAAGTTTATCCGCAAACTCAGCCAAGTTGTCCGGAAACTCGATCCATGAAAGCCCCTCTGAAACCTTCATACCGAGTATTTAGGTTTCTTTGTGCTGTATTTACTTCTTTTACCGCCGGGCGTTAAGGAGTCTGGGTCCAAGATCCAAGATCCAAGATTGCTGGGAGGCTTTTGAGGGTAATCTTGGATTCACGAAAGGCCCCCCCGTTCCCAGTTTACAGGAAAATCGATCAACCCGACCACTTCTTAAAACTTGGTTGAGTTTTGACTAAACTCGACAAAGTTTGTATAAAGTTGACCAAGTTTTGCATAAACTTGGCTGAGTTTCGGGCAAATTCGATGAAGTTGTGTAGCGAATTTGGTTGAGCTTTAGCAAAGCCAAGAAGGCAGATGCGCAGGTTGTTGAAAGATCAGCCTTCTTTTGGCAGGCGCGACTTTTCTTGCCAATCCAGCTCTTTTTAGCTTCTACAGGATCTTGCGCAGATAGCGTTTTAC